CATCTGCGAGCAAACTCAGGCTTAGTCTTAAATGTACCACACAGCCCCTAACCATTGAAGGGATTCCGATGATGTCTTAGTCTGTGGATATTGAGCTGGGTTACAATGTAAACCAAAGATTGCAGATAACCCTCATTTCAAAAACAAGAAGGGAAAACACTCTATTTATTTATTTTATCCCTGCTTTGTTACCCTGCCCTAGTGAAATTATACTTTCAAAGTCATTACTGACCATGTTCTAACCATTATTTCCTTAATTTTCACCTGCCTGAGATCATTTTATTCTTTCCCTGAAAATTGGCTTCCTATTAACTTCCCAAAAAATGCACTCTATTGTTTTCATTGCTTCATATAAAATAATTTTACCCTTTTCTGTTTTTGTCTTCCTACCTACCTCTGAATGCACATATCCTATAGTAATTTCTCTGCCCTTTTGTCTCTATATTCAAATTCTCCTTAAGCAAATCTACTGTTTAGTTTTATCTGTATTCTCTATAATAATGATCAAATCTCTTGAGCTCTGACCTCTGAAATATACACTGATGTTCGTATCAAATCGCTTATAAAATGTCTGTTTTTTATTCTTCTAAGGTATACATTTCTGTCAATAACAACTGGACATCTTGCAGTTTGTTCTTTTTACTCCTCTCTCTCCCTGTTTAGTCCCTCTATCCCATTGCATCCCATCACCCATCAGTTCTATGTACTCCACCACACTAAACCAGAGTGCCTTTTGTTACGTGCAGACTGTGCAAAGATCTTTCTAAAGGGAGTCTTAAATTCTCCTTGAAAGTGGTCATGTCCTACATAGCGCTTCCTGTTTTTGGTCTCCTCACTTTCCAGTACATTCTATTGTAGAATTATAGAGTACAAAACTGTGTAAATCATCTAGTCTCTCCCTTCAGATGGCCTAGGTATGGAAACTAACTCGTCCTCCTTTTGGCTAGGTGAGCTGGCAAGTTGATTTAGGGTCTTGTGACTGTAAAATGGGTAAAATAATAGTACCTTCTCATAGATATTTCTGAAGATTAAATGAATTAGTATATATGCAGCTCTTAGTAGGACTAAATAAATGCTTTATTAGTATATAGTATGGTATATTAGTATGTATGGTATATAGCATATTAGTATATAGTATATTTGATATCAATCTCTGAATGCAGATTTTGTTGTATCTAACACCTACCAGAAAACATAAACCATCTACTATTGCCTATCATTTCATTAATTAGTCTTCTAACTGATGTTCAAAGCTTCCTAAATCTTACCCCATGTTATTATTTTTCTAATTGTCTCTCCTGTTAATCCTATATTTTTGGCACATTTTTTAATATTCCGCCTTCCCTCGTCACAACATTTACTTGCATTTCCACACCTTTTCCCGTAGTATTAAACAGTCCTTTGACACTTTTATTGGAGCCTTCTTTGGACTTTCAAAATTTTGTACTTCAAAATCCAATTCAAATCTCACCTTCTTCCTGAAGTTATTGAATACTCTGAGAAAGTTCTCTTTCTAAATAATATTTATTTTCTACAGTATATGCTTTAGAATTCAATTATAGAGTTTCACAGGTCTCTGTAGTTTTCACAATATGCTTTCCCCAGTTAAAACTTATCTTTCTTGAGATAAATATTTATTTTACTCTCTCTTAGCCTCTATATAAAAGCCAATTTTTGATGACTCAAAACACTTATTTCCTCAGGATTAGCCATTATGAACTTAGAGATAAATAGTAAACAATTAAAATAGATGCTGGCACCTCTCATGCCATCTAACAGGGTCTAAATGAATAATATTGTTGAATAATAAGGAAGAATAGATGATCACTATTCAGCTACAGATGATCAATTATGTATCAAAAAAGTCTTAGTCTAAAATGCTGTGCACTGGAAGATTATTGTCACTTTTCTATTCTGAAGATTTTTCCACAAAATAAGTTATATTCTCTGTGTTAGAACTGATCCTGTTCTCTCGCCCCAGAATATACAGAAGAGAAGCAAGTTTATAGAGCAGAAAGGGTGTTGAACAATGGCAATTCCCTCTCACACTATTAGATTCTCCCCACCTCACCATCACCTGTCTGTCTCTATTGAACTGTATTAAAAATAGGGCTTCCCTGGTGGCACAGTGGTTAAGAATCCACCTGCCAATGTAGGGGACATGGGTTCGAGCCCTGGTCCAGGAAGATCCCACATGCCGCAGAGCAACTAAACCCGTGCGCCACAACTACTGAGCCTGCGCCCTAGAGCCCGCGAGCCACAACTACTGAAGCCCATGCGCCTAGAGCCTGTGCTCCACAACAAGAGAAGCCACCGCAATGAGAAGCCCGTGCACCACAACGAAGCGTAGCCCCTGCTCACCACAGCTAGAGAAAGCCCGCGTGCAGCAACAAAGACCCAATACAGCCAAAAATAAATAAATATATAAAATATAATAATAATAATACCAAGAAAACTGGGAATTCCAAAGAAGGAGATGGAATTTAATGTATGTTTTCAGTTAAATGCATGAGGTTGAAAATTTTGCAGTCTGTTAGCAAGAGAAAGAAGTGACTATACTGTTATTAAGCAAATATAGCATGCAAGTATAGAAACTGTACCTAAACATGTCCTATTTTTTAAAAATCTGTTATACTAAGACAAGTGCTGTAATGGTACAGTGAGAAAAGTTTTTAAATTTAAAGGCTAAGCATTTTAGCTAAACCAAAAAAACACTGGAAAATAGTAACTTCTTGTCCTGGGTAACTAGATTTGAAATTAAATCTTCATATTTATTTGTCAATTAGGTCAGTGCTTTAGTGAAATATAATTGTATATGTTTATACTCCTAGTAAGAGTAAGATGTTAAACATGGATGAATGGATGAGACAGATCAAGGTCTTAGCAGGAACAGAAACTGCAGTATGAGTTGGTAGTCTAACCCATTTTCAGATTCAGTTCTTGTTGTTCTCCATGTGCACTGTGCTTACTAACGTCTAGACCGCTGACATCTGAATCAGGCTGAGAGCTGAGGCCAGCATTCAGATATGTTTTATTTGGCTAGCACTGTATTTTATTTATTTATTTATTTATTTTTAGTGAATGAAATAATACTTTATAATTTTGATTAAGAGTTAAAGGAATAGAGAACAATTGAATTTGAGATATTCGAGAGAATAATTTGGAAATTAATCTTTCAGTGTTTACTTTCCATGTTCATACAATGAACTAGGCTTCTATTCAGCCTCACTATACATGAGATGATGCATCACATAACTTTGTATAAGTTGCCACAAATACAGGATACCTAATATACAGTGAATGAAAGAAATTTTGTCAGCAAGACTGCCCTCATAGCTCCATTTCACTTTATATTTGTTTTTCAGTTTTCTTAGATTTTCAATGTATTTATACACAAACTCATTTTGTCTATAGCACTGAAATAGTAAAAAAAAAAAAAACAAAAAAAACAAACCAAAAGAATCAAACTATTTTTTTTTTTTTTTTGCAGTACGCAGGCCTCTCACTGTTGTGGCCTCTCCCGTTGCGGAGCATGGGCTCCGGACGCGCAGGCTCAGCGGCCATGGCTCACGGGCCCAGCCGCTCCACGGCATGTGGGATCTTCCCGGAGCGGGGCACGAACCCGTGTCCCCTGCATTGGCAGGCGGACTCTCAACCACTGCGCCACCAGGGAAGTCCCAAACCTTTTAATAAGAATATCAAAATGTCATCTTTTTTTTTTCTTTCACATATGTACTTTATTTTTCATCAATGGTAAAAAAAAAAAAGCCTAACGTGCTTCACCTTGTAAGATTTTACAAAAAGGGTATATATTTCCAAACATATGTACAACAGATTTTTTTTTTACACAATCAGAGGAACCAACAAAATATCCACAAATGTTGCATGCTAATTGCTCATCAACTAGCTCCACACACTTTTTCACGGTTTTGCTTCACTGTCTCCATCTTCTCTTTGTGTAAAAGCAGTGTAGCATTGTATTTTAAAAATGAACATACATGCCTTTGGGAAGAGCACACACTTTTAAATTCACAATAGTCCTTGTCTTGTTTTTACCTTGTTCTTGGTAGTTCCCCCCCCCCTTTTTTTTTTTTAAACCTTGTCTCCAAACCCCTGAAGCTATTTGAATTTGCCATCCCTGGTTTAGGACTTTAGCAGATCTACTTTTCTTTATTCTAGTCTTCCTTCTCTTTATCAATTAAAGTTGGTGAGTATGAAACTGAATTAGAAGGAACTAGGGTGGGAGATAAATTCTAGTTTGTTGTACAAAGCCTATATATTAAGTCACTTTATTTTTAGTGACTTAACACATAGGTGATTAAATATATTTTAGTCACTTTTATTTTTAGTTTTGTTAAAACTATAGTCAACTTGTTACATATATACTAGGATATGTTCTAAATTACATTTCTGGAAGTACCTTCTAAAAGTCAATTATCTAACTTCATCAATAAGAAATGTTCATAAGACAATCATATATTATTACACATATCATATAGAGCAGTTTACCAAACAGAAATAATTTTTACCAGTTTTACCAAATATTCCTACATCAATATTAAACACAATTTTGTTTAAGTTATATATATATTAAATATGATTTTACTTTTCTCAACATTAATCAAACTGCACCTATTTTATAAATGTACCCTCACAAAATAACACTCATTTCTCATTCAAAAGCTTATCAGCATACTCTGTTGACATAATTAAATGTAATTATTTCTACTTACCTGCATACCTATAATAGTTTTTTATCAGAAATTAAATATTTAGACCTAAGATGACAGTGCATTCATATAGAATATGAATGGTAGAATATACATCATACTGTGACCACTTCTCTATTATGTAGAGTTTCAGTAGTTCACAATCACGTTTATGTTGGAGACACATTATTGCCAGTTACAATGAAATATCAAACAGCCACCCTAAGCCAAAAAGGGATGGAAGATAGAATGAATCAGGACAGCAAGAAATATTCTTGAAATTACTTGTACCTTTTTAATTTTCTTCTCAATAAGCATGTCTCCAACTGGCATTAGAATACCTCCAAACACAGCCAGGACTGCACCAATGACAGCACCAGCGATGAGCCCACAGTTTCGATTGCAGCCCATTTTTCTTGTTCTGGGAAAAAACTAAGGTTCAGCACCTGCTTCTTTCAAACTCCCAAGTCTGATGAAAGTGGTTTCCAAGAGGTCTGGTTCTATCATTAGAAGGAGATCATAAAACATAAGCATAAGTATCATACAAAAAGATCAAAGTACAAGGAAAACACGCAACTGAAACAGATCATTTTGCCAGTTATAAACAGATGCTTTTTTTTTTAAAAAAAATAGAACTTTCTAGGTCTTGTCCTTTCTTGATTTGACCTACCTACCAGTGGTAGAAGTAATAAATAATGTCACATAGAGCAGTTCTTCAAAGTTCTCCTCTTAAAAATTTTCTTTCTATGGATGATTAACATTCTGAAATCTTATCTAAGGAGAATATGCTTACTGTACTCTTGCCCTCTGCTTACTTTGCATCAGCCTGGGACACTTACGGGCATCTTCACCCTCTATCTGGCTTCTCCACCCCAACACAACCATCTGCACCCTAACTGGAGTTCTCCTGCAAACTGAATGTGGGTGGACTGATGTCTATCACATCTAAATGCTAAGCAAGTTTGGTGACAGATGTTTTCTTTACCTTTTTCACAAATAGAGAGATACGGATTTTACAGGAAATGATCTGATGAGTCTCAGAGGAATCAATTCTTGTAATCAATTGTAAGCTATCTGTTAAAACAAAAAAGCATGAGTAAATTGGGAAAATACATTGCCAGAAAATTAGCACTAGACTACTCCCTAATAACATCAAAATTATAATTATTAAAAGAAAATTCCACTTTCATCAATATTGAGTTCATGCCTGCATTCTTTCTTATATACGGTGTTGAAAACATTGAAATATTTTAAAGAAGAGTACTTCATTTTCAATTTTTTTTAACATCTTTATTGGAGTATAATTGCTTTACAATGGTGTGTTAGTTTCTGCTTTATAACAAAGTGAATCAGTTATACATATACACGTTCCCATATCTCTTCCCTCCTGCGTCTTCCTCCCTCTCACCCTCCCTATCCCACCCCTCTAGGTGGTCACAAAGCACCGAGCTGATCTCCCTGTGCTATGTGGCTGCTTCCCACTAGCTATCCACTTTACGCTTGGTAGTGTATATATGTCCATGCCACTCTCTCACCTCGTCACAACCTCCCCCTACCCCTCCCCATATCCTCAAGGAAGTCCATGCTCTAGTAGGTCTGTGTCTTTATTCCCGTCTTACCCCTAGGTTCTTCATGACCTTTTTTGTTTTCTTAGATTCCATATGTATGTCCATCAACAGATGAATGGATAAAGAAGATGTGGCACATACATACAATGGAATATTACTCAGCCATAAAAAGAAAATTTAGTCAATTTCTTTTTTTAGTAACTGATTTTTAGGTAGTCTAAAGGTGAAAAGACTTTAAAGAAAACATGTAGAGGATGTCTAGTTTCTGTGATAGGCACTGCTTTCTTGCTGGTCTCACATATATATATTTTAACATATTCAAGGGCAATATTGTTCATTTTGTCATGGGCAACTGAGTCATGCCAGTTCTGTTAAAAGCAACTAGATTGTGTCAGTATGTATTTCACTTAGTCTTATCTTTGGAAGAAAACTTTTAGTGGAATAAGTAGATCCTATTGTAACAAAGTTAATAAGACTTTATTATTCAAATATTGAAAACATACTCATTTGAGCTATTTTGGTTGCAATCGCATTTTTTATAATGGGGTTGACCTGACATCAATAAACAGAATGTGCTTTGTAGCTTATAAACAAATATTCCCTACTTCAAAATGCCCCTGGCCAAGGAAAACAAAAATGCCAACAGAATGGAGGCTACAGACAAAAAAGAGGCACACGCAATATTTTTCTCAACCTTGTAAGTAGAATAATAATTATATTTTGTTATGGGCTCAGATTTTCCCTCCGTAGCTTTGTTGTGGTTGAAGTACCACTCTGATGATTTTATTAGTAGTTCTTTCCACTTGAGGAAACATTTAGTTTTTTTAAAATATTAATTACATAGCTAAGAAAATAGTGTTAAGACTAATGTTAAGAAAATAAGACTTTTCCCCAAAATGGAAAAAGATGTTATAAAATTTTTTCATGGCAATTTATTTATTTTTCATCCTTTAGGATTTCCCTTTACCAATGCCTTATAGCTAGGATACTTCCACTGGAAATCAGGATGAGCAAACTGATTCACACTGAGGTCCTCATGGCTAAGAAGCTTGAATAGTCATGAGTGTCACATGTTATTTTCCAATGTAAACAAAACACACAAGCCTAAACAAGTGATTTATTTTTCCTGTGGAATTTTATGTGTCCCTGAGCAAGTAGAGTTGGCTTTTTATTAATTGCTTGGGGGTGGAGGGGGAAGAATATACGCTACCTCCTATGGCTTTGGCCAGGATGGTCATAATGCAATGGAACAAATTATTTAAACCTGATAATAATGACTATTCACAAGTAGAATCTCCTTTGCAAAGGATAATTGTACAGCACCTTAAAATTTTTTTGAAGCATCATCCTTTTTGTTTTTGTTTTTTTCTGTTTTTTTATTTTTGCAGTACGCGGGCCTCTCACTGTTGTGTCCTCTGCCGTTGCGGAGCACAGGCTCCGGACGCGCAGGCTCAGCGGCCATGGCTCACGGGCCCAGCCGCTCCGCGGCATGTGGGATCTTCCCGGACCGGGGCACGAACCCGTGTCCCCTGCATCGGCAGGCAGACTCTCAACCACTGCGCCACCAGGGAAGCCCTGAAACATCATCTTTTAAACGATCATTGTAATTGCTGAGTAGAGAATGTCACCCAGGTGTTCTGTACTGTATACAAGTGATCATATTCAGGGGAGCTTATCAAGTAATATTTTACTGAATGCCCATTTCATAGACCATTCCCCAGTTCAAAATCTGCAAGTTATACTTAAGGTAGTCATCAAAATACAGGGATCGAGCCTGCTGTAACTGAGAGACTGGAGAATAAACTGAAGCGTGATGGGCTACTCACTTGTCTCTTGCCAGCTGACCTTGGGCAAGTCACTTAATAGCTCTATTCCTCAGTTTCCTCATGTGTAAAATAAGATGCTAAGATGAGATCCCCAATTTTTAATTTAGGCAGCTGAACTGGTTCTTCACTCAAATTCTTACATGGAAGACCAGGCAGAGTGACTTTGATCACAGCAGTGGCAGCAGTGGTGGGAACCCCAAGACCCTGATTCCTAACTTGGTCTCCCCACTCCCAACTAACACTATCCTATCCCATGTTTAGGAAACTTGAGGAGAATCTCTGTAGAAACAAATGGACTGCAATTCGTTAAAAAATTGGGACACGAAGTCCCGAGGGTCAAATTCTAGTTTTGTTTCTATAACATCATGAATCTATTAAAAAATACAACTCAAAGATAAAATCATCTCTTTCCGAAAGATATTGTATTTTCTATATAAACACCACTAAAAATTATTCAATATTAAGGTTATTTGCAATTCTGACAGATGGAATATAAAATGAGTTAAACATTACAATTCTATGGTTTCTGAGATGGATAGAGGTGTGTATTATTTGCCCCTTTCCAGATCTATGCCATCACCTAGTTAAGAATCTACCTGACCTTTCCCAGAATCATTCTCCTTTATTCACGCAGCCCCACGGACTACAGGAAAGAGTTTCTGCAAGGGGCAAAGAGTCCCAAGGAAGTCCACTGGATGACCCAGGGGGCAACAGGTTATTCAATGTCTCTCTAAACCTGAAAACTCATTATTATGACTTCCAAGGACCCTGAGCCCAGAGATGTGAAGTCATGGGCAGACCTGGGTACTGCCTAGGCTCTGTCTGCTTTGAATTTAAAACTGAAGTGAGATAGTGTACACAGCCCACTGCTGTTGAGTCAAGTTCATCAGAAAACAAAAGTGTCAATAATTTTTTGGGTTGAATTGCATGGTTAGACAGTTCCTAGTCTGACACTGTCTGGATGATGCATAAGCAAAGATACAAGAGTTACTCTAACATTCCTGCATATGTGTACTGATATTTTCAACAGAAAAAGATTGAGTTTATCTAATTTTTCACATTTTCTATTGGCCGACATATTTTTGTTACCTTGATGTAAGTTTCCTTTTTTTTCTCTCTCTAAGAATAGGCAAGATATTTCACATGTGTAGTGTAGTCCTCCTTTATCAATGGCTTTGCTTTCCACAGTTTCACTTACCCATGGTCAAAAGTGGTCAAGTGAAGGTAACTGAACCTGTAGAAAGCAAAATCTTGGCTACAGGGGGACTACTTAGGGTTTGGTGCTATCTCTGGGTGCAGGCACCCAATGAGGGTCTTAGAAGGTATCCTCCACACCCGTGAATATGGGGGAACTACTTACTTGCGTTCATTTATTATGCTTCAGTGCCCTGTCACCATAAGTTAAGTATTGCTATTATAATTATACTTTAACCTTATGCTTCATACTACAAAATTACAATTACAAGTTGACCCTTGAACAACACGGAGGGGTTATGGTCCCTGCAGGCAGTGGAAAATCCACATATAACTATACAGTCAGCCCTCCTTATCTGTAGTTCTGCATCTGTGGATCCAACCAACTACACATTGTGGATCAGGTAGTACTGTAGTATCTACGGAAAAAATTCTGTGTCAAAGTGGACCCACAAAGTTCAAACCTGTTCTGTTCAAGGGTCAACTGTAGTTTTATTCACCTGAAGCAAAGGAGGGACTAACAAATTAAGTAGGACATGAATTGAATACATAAAAGTTCAGGTTACTCAGGACATTCTATTCAAGAGCTTCATAAAAAAAGTATAGTTATTCCCCACTCTCCTCTCACATGTAGCCATTTAGAGCACATAAAATTTGTGTTTTGCACACATGGTTTTCTCAGTAGTACAGCTTCTTACATAATAAAATTTATTTTACTTGCTAATATTAGATTAAGTTTTATTCTTTACTGTTATTTCTTCTTCATAATAAGACATTGAGGAGAGGACTGGCGGTGTGAACACAGCCTGCAGGGGGTTAGTGCGCCACGGCTAGCCGGGAGGGAGTCTGGGATAAGGTCTGGAGCTGCCGAAGAGGCAAGAGACTTTTCCTTCCCTCTTTGTTTCCGGGTGCGAGAGGAGAGGGGATTAAGAGCGCTGCTTAAAGGAGCTCCAGAGACGGGCACGAGCCGGGGCTAACAGCGCGGGCCCCAGAGACGGGCATGAGACGCTAAGGCTGCTGCTGCCGCCACCAAGAAGCCTGTGTGCGAGCACAGGTCACTATCCACAACCCCCTTCCGGGGAGCCTGTGCAGCCCGCCACTGCCAGGGTCCCGGGATCCAGGGACAACTTCCCCGGGAGAACACATGGCACGCCTCAGGCTGGTGCAACGTTACACCGGCCTCTGCCACCACAGGCTCGCCCCGCATCCATATCCCTCCCTCCCCCCAGCCTGAGTGAGCCAGAGCCCCCGAATCAGCGGTTCCTTTAACCCCGTCATGTCTGAGCGAAGAACACACGCCCTCCGGCGACCTACATGCAAAGGCGGGTCCAGATCCAAAGCTGAGCCCCGGGAGCTGTGCGAACAAAGAAGAGAAAGGGAAATCTCTCCCAGCAGCCTCAGGAGCAGCGGATTAAATCAACTTGATGTACCCTGCATCTGTGGAATACATGAACAGACAACGAATCATCCCAAATTGAGGAGGTGG